CAAATAATCCCATTAAAAATGGGCTGAGGACTTGAATAGACACTTTTCCAAAGAAGACCTACAAATAGCCAACAAGTACATGGAAAGGCGCTCAGTATTACTCATCATCAGGGAAATGCAAATCAAACCACAGTAAGATGTCACCTTACACTTGTTAGAATTATAAAAAGAAAGAGATAACAAATGCTGGTTAAGAAAGGAGATTGAGAGAGGGAAAGAGAGAGACTGAGACAGAAAGAAAGAAGAGGAGGAGGGAGGGTGAGGGGAAGGAGGGGTGGGAGAGAAACGTGAAAGTATTTTTAAGCTGCAAAACAATACACATGAGCAAAATGCAAAATGACCTCAGTGAAATATTTGTACAGTATATAATCTATCTCTTCTCAGACTTCATATTGCTCATCATTTTACTTTTTTATTGATGCTTTTAGATTGCCATTTTCAACATAGGAACTTCATAGATAGTCCCTTTATAGTTTCCATTAATCTTCAGGTTTGAGAGAAATGAAATCCGTAATATGGTTCACTGTTTTTTTAGTTTGTGATGTAGCTAAAAACAATTTCTAAGTGATGCTGAATTTGAGAAGGAGTTTAGGAATTCTGGGTACTATTAAATGTCCTCATTCTAAGACAGATTTTTTGTTACAGTTTCTTCTAATGGAACAATCACAACACACAGTCTACTTTCTGAGGCACAGTGTGGGGCAGTTGGACAAAATTTTACATCATTGCATAATAAGTGTTACCAGCTTTCTGATTTCCAGTCAGTATCTGTGCCTTTGCTGCTGTAAGCCCCACTTCCCCCAGTAATCCAGTCCCATATTTCAGACTGCAGCACCCTGTGTCCAGGTGTCAGATCCTATGTAGGTCAGGGCTTTTGGTCTTAAACAGAACTCCAGCTAGTTTAAGTAGAGATTTATTGAAAGTTATTAGGTGGCTCCCAGAATCTTGGGAGAGCCATAAATCCAGTTTGGATAGTACACAGCACACACACACACACACACACACACACACACACAGCACACACACACACACACACACACACACGGAGGGGGGGGAGAGCAAAAGAGAGAGAGATTGATTCTGCGGCACCAGGCAGGTAGGATACTGTGTGACAGAGCCCCCCTTAGTTGTCTCAGGAGAACGCAGGGCTCCACCACCTTGATCCCCAGCAGATACAAGCTCCCTGCATTCAGTGCCCACCTCTCGTTGATCATTTCTCACCCCAGTTCTGGTTAGATGCCTATGCTTTCCGGGAACTTAGTCACATGCTGGCACCCTAGCTGCAAGAAGACTGGGAAATGTTGGAGTTAGAATGAATGAGGGTGAGCCTGCCTGCAGAATCTGCCACGGTTTCCTATTTCCTTACAATTTCATTGTGAGACTTTAGGTAAGGTGCTTAACCTCTCTGATCCATTTTCCTAATACCTAACATGAGGGTTTTGGACCTCATAGATTCCAAGAGTCTTTACAGTAATACAAATCTGCATCTGTATTAGTTAGAATCCTGGCTTCCAGTGATGGAATCCTTACATGAACTAGTGAAAGTAAGTCAATGCGATTTATTCACTCTTACAACCTAATTGTGGGACGAGCAGGGATGAAGCTGGCGTTAGCAGTGCCTGACTCATCTGACCTCACACTGTATCCCCTCTCTGCTTTCTGTAAAGACCAGCTTCTCCATGAAGCTGGAGCTGCAACCCCTATAGCTCCAAGGCTCGTGTCTGAGATCATAGAGGAAAAGAACTTTCCAGACTCAGTTTTGAAGGTTCAGAAGAAGGACTCTTTCAGGCAAGCTTGGTTTGAGTGCCTGCTCTTGTGGCCAGAGGAGTGGAGTCTTTAATCAGAGAAGGGGTCCCACAGGCATGGCCAGGAGAGAATTGGTTTTAGCAGTCAGCCACCCCGATCTGTGACCAATGCAGATTCTAAGATCTAGTGTGATGTAGTATGTGATGTGACGTTTGTTCATCTGTTTTCAGGCTTTCATTTTGTGAATGTCATTGTTGTGGAAGGTTTTGTAGGCAATACAAATGCCATATAGACCGAGCCCCTGCATTCAAGGAGCTTAAAAGTTTATTACAGAGATAAAGCAAATAGAGGTATATGAAGACCTAATAGTAAACAAACAATAAAACAGTTTCAGGGAAGGATCTGAAATCTGAAAGCAGTTGAATTGGAACTTGAAGGGATGCAGTGGTTTAACAGTTTTTGCCAGGCACTTTGCCCCAAATTATATTCCCAAGCCAAATCAGATTTGGCTTGAAAGGTCATACGTAAAATATAACATTGATATTTTTCTTGAATATTTTTCTTGCTCTTTTTTCTTGGGTGTTGACTGTGTTGGTAGAGAGACAACATCTTCCTTTGGAAAGTACATTATTGTACTGAAATACATTTTGTCTTTAGCAATCAATATGATTTTATACTTTATGAACATAGCTTGTATAATAGGGGGGAAAAATCTACCATTTTCTCCTTGAATCAAAAATCAGTGGCTCACCCTAAAATTTATGTGGAATGCAGTGTTGGCAATCAGATTGTGGGAAATATGTGAAGAGTTTTAGCTGATCAATGCGATAGTCTTTGGTTCATCATACAAATGAGCTTCTGGTTTTATAATCTGAAGCACATGCATAGTAAGTAGAGAAAACTAATTGCAGTAAATCCTAACAGTAATCTGGATATTTCAATAATGTTGCATTGTTATATCTGAATTTACTTTAACACTGTTACATAAAGGTCTTGTTTTTAAATTGTTTTAGTCTTCTTGGCCTCTCTTTCCTGATGATTAAAATAGAGTGATTGGATTAGATTGTGTTTAATTAGATTTTATACTTAGATGTCACGTCAGAGCTCTTGAATGTATTTTATACCCTTTTTCTTGTGGACAATCCATATAGGTGGAGTTAGTGTTTATACATAGCCTGCTTAATTATTTCTTTCTTTGAATTTCTATTGCAATAGACAATAAGCACTTTTTATACTCCTAGCTTCCTTAGCTGTAAAGACCAGCTTCTCCAGAAGCTGGAGCAGCAGCCCCTGATAGCTCCCAGGCTCATATCCAAACCACTCTGAGATCACAGAAGAAAAGAAGTCCTCTTTCCCAGACTCAGTTTTGAAAACACAGGAGAACAACCTGACCCTCCTTTTTAATATTGCCTAAAATCCTCTACACATCCTGTCTCTCTTTTCTGCTTTATTTTTCTTGAGGGTGCTTATCACCATCTGACCTACTGAAAATAAAAATAAAAATTTTTGAATTACAGTTGACATACAATATTATATTGGTTTCAGGTTAACAGCATAGTCATTAGACATTTGCATAGTTTACTAAGTGATCAGCGATCACTCCTTACCTTCTAAAGTGGGATATATTCATTCTAATAAGTGAAATGTAATGGTTTTAATGACTATCAAATTTATTTTTAAGACTATTTATCCCAGCATTTATTCCCCCCTTTTCATCGTAAGGGAGATTACAGACCTTTAGGAGGCTGAATTTACAGGGCTGAACTGAATTTGAGAAGCAAGGGAAAGAGGCGCATCAAGGATCATTCTGGAATCAGCTGGGACCACTGGGTGGGTGGTGGTGCCACTCACAGAGAAAGAGAACATGGGAGAAGAAGCAGGTTTGGGAGATACCTGGTAGGGAGCCACTGAGACATCAATGTATAGGTAATAATTTCATATCAGCATGCAAAGTATTTCCAAAAGAGAATTCTTCAAAATAAGCTTAGAAGGACCTGCCAGAGGAGGGAAGAGCCAGGACAGAGGCTTTTAAAAATTTGAAGAAAGGTGTCCTTGGCTGCCCAGCGCTGTTATGGCGGGCTTGCTGAAGAAGACTACTGGCCTTGTGGGACTGGCTGTATGTGAGAGTCCTCATGAGAGGCTAAGAATACTGTACACAAAAATTCTTGATGTTCTTGAGCAAATCCCTGAAAAGTCAGCATATAGAAAATATACTGAACAGATAACAAATGAAAAGCTGGATATGGTTAAAGTGGAACCAGATGTTAAAAAATTAGAAGACCAGCTTCAGGGTGGCCAAATAGAAGAGGTGATT